GACCCTTCTTCAGAAATGGGGGAGGGGAAGGGGGCTCTGAAATAAATGGGGGGGCGCAGTGATAGCAGGTGGATAGTGGAGCGGATAGGGTGGGAGAGAAGACGGACAGGTCAAGGAGGCGGGGATGAAGCTAGTAAAGGTGAGTGTAGGTATACAGGGGTGGGGATTGGTCAGTGAGGTTGGAGGAGCGGATAGGTGGGCAGGTCAAGGAGACGGGGATGAAGCTTGTAAAGGTGGGTGTAGGTGGGTAGTGGTGGGGATTGGTCAGTGAGGTGGGAGGAGCGGATAGGTGGGCAGGTCAAGGAGACGGGGATGAAGCTTGTAAAGGTGGGTGTAGGTGGGTAGTGGTGGGTATTGGTCAGTGAGGTGGGGGGAGCGGATAGGTGGGCAGGTCAAGGAGACGGGGACGAAGCTTGTAAAGGTGGGTGTAGATGGGTAGTGGCGGGGATTGGTCAGTGAGGTGGGGCTAGTCCCGTTTTGTTTTAACATGAGGTCTGACTCAGTTGCCCCAGAACGACTTCACATCACCCGAAGGGCAGGCTTGCGGCCTGGATACCTTCCTTGAATAGTTTCCATCTGAAGAGTTGGAACAGATGGAAGGATATGAGTCGTAAGATCTTGTCAAGCAAATGGTGTCTGTGCTAACTTGATACTTCCCTGGTACCACACTGTACTGTCAGCTGAGCTGTGAGCTTGAAAAGACCATATTCTATCTCCGAGAATATGGCCACGAGAAAGGGAAAAGTAAAGTGAAGGAAGCTGAGTGTTGATAACTGTGAGATGGCACAAGTTTGATTAGTGCGCTGCAGGATTGTGGCATCAAAAAACTGGGATATAAACGAAATCAAAATGTAGTATAGGTGAAAAATTGCAGACTGCCCCATGTTATACTGATTTCTTATTTTAACAAACTCTCATCAAATTAACATTTTATACCATTGTAAGATATTAGTTAGTAGGATCATCATTATTATTGCAAGGATGGAGTCCTGAGAGTATTAGTGAACATATTGTAATGAGTTTTAATCCTCACAGGAAGCATATCTAGAGCACTTGGAGTGCATAAATATAACTTCTAGCCTGGAGGCAAATGTTAAACTGGAATGATGGACAGTATAGTGTCAATGGCCATTTATTTGGTTGTTGGATGCTTGATTTCCATTGTAAGAATGTGGAATGTAACTAAGAGCTTTAAATAGTCTTTGCTAGAATGTTGACAATTGTTTAACAAGCAAAGACACTGTTCCCAGTCCTGTACTTGGGTTGTTTGCTTAGTGTCTGTGAACGGTGGTAGAAAGCTTCTGATTTTGGGGAAAATGACTGGACTTATCAGTGATTGTTGAAGTAAAACTAGATCATTTCTTGCACTTCTACATTTGCGTTGGTGATGTCTTGTACGAGCTTGTGAACTTCAGTGTCCAAATGAAGATTTTGTATTGCATCATTGAAAATGCATGAATTTTGGTTGCGCAACTAATATTTTCAGTGTCCCAAATAAATTACATTGTCTTGTTACTGCATTTCAAATGTCCTTGTTACGTACTGATTTGTGCTTATCTTTGTCTCATGTGATCCTCCTCACCTTCTACACCCACCCATCAGCACAACCTATCATCCTTTACTTCCTCACACATCTACCTGGCTTCTCCTCAACTCGATCAGTGTCATTCATCTCAACTGTTCCTTGTGGTATAAGCATTACTGAGTGTAAAGTGTTAAGCGTTTAAGTGCTCATTTTTTTAGATTTATTTCTAATATGAGCTTCATTTAGTTTAAACGCTAATAAAGCAAAGAAACATTCAAATGCATGGTATCAAATTGCTGTGGTGCAGATCATTTTGCAAAGCTCCATAGTGCAAAGCAAGTGCTTTTTGTTGATGAGAGAAGGGAAATTAAGGGTGGAAAAATGAGAAGAAATTATGTACAATAATGGGGGAGCACAGCACATCGCTGCAAGAGACAAGACTGAAGCATTTGCAACCAACTTCAGCCAGATGTATCAGGCTGATGATCCATCATAATCTCCTCCTGAGGTTCTCGTCACAGTCTTCATCCAGTTTGATGCACTGCGTCTGATATCAATAAAGCGGCAAAGATAGTGGATACTGCAAAGGCTTTGGGCCCTGATAAGCACAAGTCAGGAGTGTATTGGAATACTCCCCACTTGTCTTTGAGTCCAGCTCCAACAACACCTAAGAAGCTTGACGCTCTCCATGACAAAGCAAGCTGTAAGCTTTGCACACCTTCAGCGTTCACTGCATCCGCAAAGAGTGACAGTAGCGCAGTATCACCCACTTAAAAGATGCATTATAACAACTTACCAATGTCACATCTCATAGAGATTTGCAACATGGAAACAGACCCTTCGGTCTGACTCGTCTGTGCCGACCAGATATCCTAGATAAATCTAGTCCCATTTGCCAGCATTTGACCCATATCCCTCTAAACCTTTTCTATTCATGTACCCATCCAGATGCCTTTTAAATGTTGTAATTGTGCCAGCCTCCACCACTTCCTTTGGCAGCTCATTCCATACACACACCATGCTCTGCGTGAAAAAGTTGCCCCTTTGGGTCCCTTTTAAATCTTCCTCCTTTCACCATAAACCTATGAGCTCTAGTTTTGGACTCTCCTACCCTGGGGAAAAAGACCTTGTCTATTCACCCTATCCATGCCTCTCATGATTTTATAAAACTTTATAAGGTCACCCCTCAGCCTCTGACACTCCAGATCAGGACAAGAGCAACAAATGCAGCAGAACACCACGATGTACAAGTTCCTCTCCAAGCTCACCATCCTGATTTGCTGGGAACTGCCTTCCTAATACATTCTGCGTGCACCCACTCCGAATGACTGCAACGGTTCAAGAAATGGAGGTGCCGGTGTTGGACTGGGGTGGACAAGGTCAGAAGTCACATGACACCAGGTTATAGTCCAACAGGTTTATTTGAAATCACAAGCTTTCAGAGCTCTGCTGTCAACAGGTGGAGTCACTGGCATTTGTCAGTGGACTATAGCCTGGTGCCATGTGTCTTGTGACCCAGTTCAAGAAGGCAGCTAACTACCACCTTCTCAAGGGCAGTTATAGGAGAGACATAAGTGTTGACCCAGAGAGTATTTCCCACTTTCCATGAATTTTAGAGATCTGTGTTTCATCTATTGAAGGAATTTGCATGATTTTTGCAACGCCAGTTTTTGGCTAATTAATGTGAACCAGTCCAGCAATGTCACTGTATGAATGGAAGAAAAATGTAAATGAAATTAAGACAGAACAGGAGAGCACTGTGAGGACAAATGAAATGTTCAAAGTGATCCATTGGATGAATATTACAGTTCTCTAACAGTCCAAATAATGTTGTTGCTGTGGCATAGTGCTTTGGCATTTGTGGGCATGACAGGCACCACACAAATGCAAGTTTATTTGAATAGTTTGACATGACAGCATGCTGTAAGTGTGCCCAAAAGTCAAGTTGCTACAAATTGGTGTTGGCTTGTTTTGCTTTGAGTTTTTAGTTCTGCATGTGTTACAGAGGAAAAGCATTGTCTTACACATCATCACCAACATTTCTCTGTTTTTATGACCTTGCTTGTAAATTGATCACATTATATTAAAAAAAATGCTCGCTGGTTGTTTCTGGAATTACTGTCAAAGCTCCATATGCCTTACAACTGTTAAAGTTTTCATAACTGGAGGAAAGTGATTGCTAGCAATTGTCTTGCTTAGAGATGCAGAGCGCTCATATAAAACTGTAAATCGGTTCCACATTTCTAAGTTCCTTGAATTAATTGCTTCTATTTTCTTTTTGCTGTACGTTTTGCTGACAACAGGATGTTTTAAACAACCTCTGTTATTATTCTTTCCAATCCCACAAGCAGCTGGTTCCTCGTTTAAATCTCAGTTCAAATGGAGCATCTATTTAGAGTTCTGAACACACTCATCTCGCTGGCCAGAAATGGTGGAGAGGTTTCCAAGCTGCACAGTACCCAAGCCAGTTTTGATCTTCGTAGACCTGCTTCTCTGCCTCTGCATCAATTACCCTGTGAATGAACTCCTGCCTGCTTGTGCATTTGTCTTTTTAATTCATTCATGGTATGAGGGTGATACTGACAAAGCCAGAATTTTATTGCTCGCTCTTTAATTCCCGGTGAGCCACCTTTTTGAAGTCAACAGAGTGTCTCACTCGAATATTTCAGAGCGTGTTTAGGAGTCGCGTGTAGGCCAGGCGATGGAAGGACAGCAGCTTTCCTTCACTAAAGGGCAATGCTGGAACAGATGTGTTTTTACAACAATCGTATCACGGTTGCTGTTGTTAACGCTAGCTTTTCATTCTTCATTTTAATGAGTGAATTGTGCTTCAATTCCCCAGCTGCCGAGGTGGATTTTGTACTTCACTATATTATAAGGTCAGGCCTTCTAAGCTCTGCTAATTAATAGAAGAGGTTTTGCTGCTGTCCTTCCTGCTCTCAAATGACCAAATTCTCCATGGGGTCCCCATATTGTTGCAGAGAGGGGAACATGCCATGTACCTTCCCTTGCTCAATGAAGCCTCTTTTGATGTAAGTGGAGTCCAGGCTGATGTCGGCTCTGTTGAATACAGTTGGAAAAGACCCAGTTAAACGTGAAGTCTTTGCATCTCAAATCTCTTGCGCCTTGCT